TAGAATGTATGAAGACGCAAAGGAACAAGACAAAATTTATGAGATTTAATTTAGGAACATTTCCAAATTTAGATAACCTTGTTTTTTAATGGTTTTTAAATGTAAGGAGTAGAAACATGGCAGTATCAGCAACAATTCTTAAAACAAATGCCAGAGATCTTGCTGAAAAAATAAATATTATTGGATTTCAGGCGTATGACGGATGACTTGATTGTTGGAAAAACAGTTATAATGTTTCTTTTATGGCGGTATGTGGTGAGGGTAACTCTTGTACAGCTGAAATATGATAAAATAATGACCACGTCATGGACGGAAAAGGAACTCTCCCAACAATTTTATTCAGATGACGACCACTTTAAAGAGGTTCAAAATCAGATATCATATATATATATATATATATATATATATATATATATATATATATATATATATATATATATATATATATATATATATATATATATATATATATATATACTGTAACATGGGGTTACTTTATGCCTTGCGGTCTTACTTAAATCCTTTACAGAAAATTTGAATATCATGCTTCTCCTGTTCAAACGTCTAAAAAGTGGCGGGTTTTTTTTCTATTTGTTAATTTATATACGACTAACACTGTTAAAAAAACATATTGCCTTTTCTGCGGGAGGCTGCATATGTGCGAACAGGCATAAGTGCGAAGCGTTGCAAAAACTGGCATAAGTGCGAACTGGCATATGTGCGAATTGGCATAAGTGCGCCAAAACATTTTGCAAACATTGGCATAAGTGCGAATTGACATTAGTGCGAACTGGCATAGGTGCAAATCAGTTACAAAAACTGGCACAAGTGCAAACTGGCATAAGTGCGAATTGGCATAATTGCGCCAAATAAATTTGCAAACATTGGCATAAGTGCAAATTGGCATAATTATTACTTATGCCAATTCGAACATATGCCAGTTTGCACTTATGCCAATGTTTGCAAATTTATTTGGCGCAATTATGCCAATTCGCAGTTACACCAGTTTGCACTTATGTCAGTTTTTGTAACTGCTTCGCACTAATGCCAGTTTGCATTTATGCCAATGTTTGCAAATTTATTTGGCGCAATTATGCCAATTCGCACTTATGCCAGTTTGCACTTGTGCCAGTTTTTGTAACTGATTCGCACTTATGCCAGTTCGCACTTATGTCAATTCGCACTTATGCCAATGTTTGCAAATTTATTTGGCGCAAATATGCCAATTCGCACTTATGCCAGTTTGCACTTGTGCCAGTTTTTGTAACTGATTCGCACTTATGCCAGTTCGCACTTATGTCAATTTGCACTTATGCCAATGTTTTCAAAATGTTTTGGCGCACTTATGCCAATTCGCACATATGCCAGTTCGCACTTATGCCAGTTTTTGCAACGCTTCGCACTTATGCCTGTTCGCACATATGCCAGTTCGCGCTAATGCCAGTTCGCGCTTACACCATTCGCACTTATGCCAGTTCGCACTTATAAAATTCGCGCTTATTCAGTCGTCCCCCTTTTCCGAACACTAAATGATCTAACTTTGAAATGGATGTCAAAAAGTAACTGAAATTGCTAGTGAAATTGACTTGGCAGAACTTTTGTTTGGTTTGTTATTATCGCACACAGAGATAAAAAATCTCTGAGTTTGGTACACTAACACCTTAGTTAAAAGATTTGAATATTTTTTTAGTCATTTTTTTTAATTTAGTTTCAAGAAAAAAATACCTAATCACATTTAAGTTAATTTTTATGTAAAAATAACTTAAATAAAAAAAAACCTCATATCATTTATTAAATCTCCAATCATTTTATTTATATTAAATTAATATACATTTGTTTATTTATTTTGGTGATATGATGGGTGATTGATTTATTTCTTTATTTAATTTATTATTATTATCACTATTATTATAACAAATGTAATAAAATTAAAGTAATTAACATATAATATTATATTATATATTAATAATATATATATAATATTATATGTTAATGACTTTTTTGTTGTTGTTTGTCTGTTATTTTAGTGTCTGTTTTGAATTAGTATTTACTTATTATTTGCACTGTCCCTTTACAAAAATCAATATTAGTTGTCAAAAATCAATATTATTATATTGTAAACAGTATTTTTGTTGTTGGTAAAATATATTGATTAATTTATACTTCAGCTTAGAAAAAATGCAAAAAATGTATTCTATGAGACCAGGCTCCAGAAAAATATGTAGATTATTCTCAAGAAAAACTCCAACAGTGCCTTAATGCGATTAATGAAGCCCGAATGAGCCAGAGAGTAGCATCTAAACATTTCTGCATATCTAGAATGACCATTCAAAGTAAACTAAAGCGAAAACACAATCAAAAACCAGGACATTCTTCAACATTTACTGCTTTGGAAGAATCTTCTTTTGTTTCTCACACCTTGACAGTGTTTGAGTTTAAATTCCCTGTTGATGATTTTGATTTTAGATTTATTGCCAAGGGTACCTCTCTTCCCAAAACAAAACTATTCCACAGTTTAGAAACAATTTTCCTGGACTTGAATGGAGTAAATTATTTTCAAAAAGATATATGTAAACTATTTTAAAAGATATAGTAAATTATTTTAAAAGATATAAAATAATTTTAAAAGATACAAAATAAGGATAAGTAAATTATTTTAAAAGATATAAAATAATGTTTATTTTAGGCCACTAAAAAGTAAGTGGAAAACTGTTTTGACTCTGTGGAAAGAATCACCTGCAAGTAAAAAATTCACAACACTTCCAAAAGAACGCTTTTCACCACTTCTAAAAAAAGTACTGGAATTAATAAAAGACACTTCTAGTGAAAATTTAATATCAGGTTTTGCTTAGTGTGGAAATTATCCTTGTAACAAAGAACCTCTTATTAATCGTTTGCCACTGCAAGATCGATCATTTGTTGATCTAAGCCTTATTTCTAAAGCATTTATCTGTCATTTAAATGACAATCGTGCAGATCTTGTACCTTCAATATCAAAAGAAATTAAATGTTCCACCAGGAAAAGGAATCTGTCCTGACTCAGAAGAATCAGAAGTTGCACCAATCAAAAATGCCCTAGAAGCGCCCCAGAAACAAAAAAAAGTTAATTATGATATCTCTAGTGCAGCGTCTGAAAGTCAATATAAGTTTAGGCTGCGGGCTTTTAAATCTGATTGAAACAAATATTTTTAAACATTAAATGTTTAAATGTAGTAGCTACTTACCTACCAATTTAGTTATTGTTTTATTATAACAGAACAAAAAAAAGGTTAATAAAATATACAAAGTTTTCTGTATTATTTCTATTTTTCTTTTGCTTTAAATAAATCCAAAGACAATTGTTTTAACAATATAGAAGTATTTCTTTAAGTAAATTTTAAGTAAGTATTTGTTTTAACATTATGGAGGTATTCACCTAAGTAATTTGTAAGAAAATATAACAAAACAGCACAACATGGCTTAAAGAAACACCAACCCAGGGTAACATTATGCCACATTTTGAAAAACTAAAAAGTATATCCGTTTTTAATTTATTTTAGAAATCAATAATTTCAAACTAAAGGTTGATATCTTTAAAAATATTTGGAACAAAGAAAAAATGGAAAGTAAATTTTGAATAGAGCAAAATTGATCGTTATAACCAGAAATTGCAATAAAGTGGATTAAAGTACCGTGTTACGGTATATATATATATATATATATATATATATATATATATATATATATATATATATATATATATATATATAGTGGCAGATTAAAACTTTTTGGGGCCCGGGGCTATTTTTGTTTTTAGAAGCCTTTTTATGGGCCAGAGCCTAAAAATGACTAAAAAAAAAAAGGTCCTCTAAAATTAGGGGGGCCCTGGGCTATAGCCCCCTTGATCCGGCACTATATATATATATATATATATATATATATATATATATATATATATATATATATATATATATATATATATATATATATATATATATATATATATATATATATATATATATATATATATATATATATATATATATATATGTATATATAGCGGCATATGTATAAACCCTTAACATACGTTCAAAAATGTTTTAATAAAACGATCCAATTATCGTTTCATATGGACGTTTAAAAACTAATAAAAAATTTTTTTAACTTTTTTACCATTAAAAAACGTTCGCTAAACGTTTTTGTGCCCACACCCAGCTAGCACACTTTCGTTGGGCCAACTTATGTAAACCCATCGCGAACTTCGGCTGTTTACTCCGATGCAAATACAACGTTGATCTATTTTTAGTTTTATTGTATTTATATCAATGAAAACTTTAATAACTAAGCGATTAAAAATTGTTAACAAAATTACATTGTTCTAAGGTACGTAAAACATCACAAAAATTCGTTATTTTTTCAATCTAAACCCAATGTTGATCAAAATATCAAGTCACAAGCAAAGCAAACATGAATAATGACAGTTTAATCATATGTGCATTGAAAGTATTACTATCACCATTAGCAATGTTGACTTTTTGTATACCAATGAAATATATGTATATAAGTATATGTTCAAACATATGTGTACAAATACATAACGTATATATGTATATAACTATGTATACATATTGAAGTAAATAACAAAAAAATATAAACCTGATAAAATTAAACATAACATTGTGTAAATGTAAAATACAACGTTGAATCAATCTAAAACATAACGCAATACCGACTTAAATACAACGTTGGGCCAACGTTGTTTTTTGGTTGTTGGCGACGTCAATGGTATAAAAACAATGTTGGTAATCGATGTTAGGCAAGGACAACACGCAACATTGTTCTAACGTTTTATCAACGTATGTTTGCTAGCTGGGCCGGAAACAATCTAGTTTTTGAGCAATTTAGTTATTTCATGTTACGTACCTGATATATAATCCAATTTTTGAAAGTAAAGCAAAGATATTATATTAGCAATAATTAATAGAATTTATTAATAAAATATTTAGTAGTTTTTTTCATACTTTGTAAATTTTACTTTCAGAAGCTCTGTACTAGTTGTTGGACTTCTAGATGATCTTGATAGTTCATTTGCTATAGCGTGAAGTCTTTTTCTATTGTTTCTATCACCAGTAAGTTTCTAAAATATATTTTCATTTAAGAAGCTAAATTTATTAATTTCTCAAAAAAATAATAATAATATATAAAGTCATAAATATAAATATAAAAAGCTTTTGCAAAAACAAAATATAAAGGTAAAGTATAATAAAAATAGAGTAAAGATGTGTACAATGGAACGGCATGAAAAATTTAACAAGTTTTGTATTTTTAGTTTTTATAAATTATTTGTCAAAGAATTTTTTTTTTTAATTACTATTTTGTTTTTCCCTCTATCATATGGTCTCTTGGTCAAATCATATGGTCAAATCTCTTTGGTTTCTAATTAAAAAATCTCTTTGGTTTCTAATTAAAAAATTTTAACATGAGTTAAAAAGACTTACTGGGAGTAAATGTTTTTAACATTTTTTTTCACAATCAGTTCTCCGAAAAACAGAAATAAAAACAGCGCTAAAAACTTACTAAAAAAATACGTTTGGCAAAGTGAGTTCTTTTGTAACAAAAAATAAAGAGACTGATTTTTTACTCGATTACCCACTCTTTTTACCACACTTTTTTTTACCATTTTTTTTACCACACTCTTTTACCACACTTTTTACTTGATTACTCACTCATCTTTGTAGTTAAGTGTATTAATCAAGTTAATTGCTTTATTTCTATTAGTTCTATAACTTTAATTGTGTGACAAGTTAAAACGTTTAACTATACTTGTGGAGCCAATGTATTTTAATAAACCCACATGAAAAAAATATATGAAAATCATTTTCTGAAAGAAAAAAAATTCAATTTATTCGAAAACTGTTCAATAAGACTCACTTTAACTCTATCAAATTAACATTTTTTACTTTTTTTTATATATATATTGTGATAGATATTTTAAAGTAGTAAAAGAAAAAATGCTCAAAGAGAACTTTGAAATTCAAAAATGATAAAAGTTCTAAATAAAACTTTAAAAAAATATGATATAACTTACATCTAAAATCGTAAAATGTCCATGATAAACAAAGTTTCCTAAACTATAATGTACAAGTGTATTGTTAATCCACTCGTGTCCTTGCAACACATGTGGGTGAGTTCCAATTATTATATTTACGCCTAATTGACTGAGATAAAGAGCCATCTTTCTTTGTGATTCATTTGGAATTGCAGCGTATTCCGATCCCCAATGTAAAAAAGTCACAATAAAATCTACTTTTCCCTTAAAAAGAGAAAAAAATCTTATAAAACTTTTTTTTTCTTCTTTATTAATAAATATAACTTTTATATGCACAAAACTTGAACACACTAGCACACACGCACACAAACACACACAAGCACACAAATAAGCGGTTTTTACCAGTTACGGTTTTAACATTTGCAAATTGTTATCCAATAAAAATATAAAAAGTAAAGCTTTATTTATCAAAGAAAAAACCATTTTGATTCATCGTTGTGTTTGTTGTAAGAAAACTACAGTTTAAACAATTTTTTTTTTTTTTTTTTTTTTTTTATTTGCATTCACTCCCAACAAGGCTGCAAGCAACCACTATTAAGTTGGGAGTTACTAGGAGAAAAAAAGAACAGAGTTATAGAGCAAGGAAACGGTTGACAGAAGACTTAAAAAGTTGAAGGTTGTATGAGTCAGGAAAACATGAAGATGGGAGAGAGTTCCAAAGAATTGAAGTGCAGGGAAAAAAACTAGATGAATAAAAGTTTTTAGAGCATGCAGGGACAGATACAGAAAACGAATGAGACTTAGCTGAATGACGAGTAAAACGAGAATGAATTTTAGTTGATGGAACTAGAGATGATAACTCCTTTGAGCAGTGACCATGATAGTATCTGTAGAAAAGAGAAAGAGATGCAACTTTACGACGATGGGAAAGAGGTTCAAGCTTAGCAGATAGTCCAGGTCCAACAACATTTACAATGCGTTTTTGGACCTTGTCAAGAAGAGAGAGTGAATCGTTAGAAGAACCAGCCCAAATATGACAATAGTATTCCATACAGGGACGAATAAGAGATTTGTAGAGGTAGAGAATGGAATCAGAAGTAAGGAAATGGCGAGCACGATAAAGAGAAGCAACCTTAGCAGAAGCTAATTTAGCAATCGATTGTATATATGGTTTCCATGAAAGGTCAGTAGTAAGCGATAATCCAAGAAGACGTAAAGAGGACGACTCAGTAAGAGGATTGCCATTCATTAATATAGGAATGTTGACCATATTACGGTAGTTGTTTGCAGTAAGCAATTGGGTTATTTTAGAGTTGAAATTCACAAGCCACTGTGAACCCCAATCTATTACTGAAGTGAGATCAGATTCAAGATCAGCTGCTTGTTCTAGGCAATCGAAAAGAGAACACTTTTTGTCAAGACAGGAGTATAAAGTTGAGTCATCAGCAAAAAGAGCTACTTTAGATGAAAGGTTGTCAGGAAGATCGTTTATGTAAATAAGAAACAAAACAGGGCCCAGGATGGAACCTTGGGGAACCCCAGAAGTTACTGGAAATAAAGAAGAGTGTTGGCCTTCAAGGATGACTTTAATAAACCGGTCAGAAAGAAATGATTTGATAATCTCAAAAACTTTCCCAGAAACACCATATGAAGCAAGCTTATGGAGAAGACCAGCATGCCAAACTTTGTCGAAAGCTTTAGATATGTCGAGAGCAATAGCCCTAGCCTCACCGCCTCCATCTAATGGACGATAAAATCTTTCAGTTACAGCAGTTAGTAAGTCGGCCGTAGAGCGAGAGGATCGAAAACCTTATTGATTGTCTGACAGCAGTTTATTTGACTCAAGATGAGATGTGAGGAATTTGTTGATTAAAGACTCAAAGACCTTGCTAATAACAGAAAGAAGACTGATCGGACGATAATTGGAGGGGTCAGAATTTTCTCCAGAGTTTTTGAATATTGGAACCACAGATGCCATTTTCCAACAAGCAGGAAAACAAGACTCAGTCAAACACTTGTTAAATAGTTTAGAGAGAATTGAAGAAAGTTCTGGAGAACAATTCTGCAAGACTGTGACAGGAATGTTGTCTGGACCACAAGCTGTAGACGAGTTTAATTGAGATATGACTTTAGCATTGAAGTTTTGTGCTTTTTTACTAGACATCTGTCCAACATCTTTGTAATTTCTATTTTTAATGCTGACTCTAATATAATCTTTTCTCTTTCTTCCCTGAGGCTCCTACAGCCTATTGTGTTCCATTAAAGTAACTGGTTTTCGAGTCCAGTTATGAATTATAAATAGCATATATTACCACTGCCTTCGAATATTTGGGATCAAATATGTCCCTTTTATTTCGTTTTCCGTTTAGGAAGAGGCATGAGGGACATCAGGCAACGACTTTTTCTTACTTTAATATTGACAGTACAAGAATCTTTCGACATTTTGTCTCTATTTTTTGAAGTTTTCTAATAATTTTTATCTTTGTTTGTTCTATATCTTAAGCCTCTTTCAAATTGTATTACGCAAACCTCTCATGAACACACACCTCTCCCTTATAATATAGAACATACTTTAATTCTTAGCCATATTATCACAACAATAATTAAAATGTGTATTTTAAAATTATATTAGTTTAAGATTATAAACATAAAATAACAAATTCTAACTTTATACATTAATTTCCAAATTGTTTCCTTAGCCGTCTTATCATGTGCCATTAAAATCTATACAATTCACACATTTTCATTTAATGATAACTAGGTTCTCCACAATTATAGTCGTTGAAACGTAGGTGCGAACATAATTCACATTAAGTCATACATCTTGCATTCAATTTACTCTCCACATTTCCTAATATGGAAATTAATCATCTTGCATGCTTGTAAATTTAAAATTAAATACCTCATTTGTCTTTTGTCACCTTCACATCTCTTATATATTCTGTATTTACTAAGTCACTTGCGTTCACACGACAATCAAGTCGCTAGAGTATTCAAGACATCCAAGATAAAGGTAAATTTCTTTTCTAAAACCTTTCTAATAAACACACACGCCATATATACTCTAGAGAACTAAACTTTTAGTATCCGTGAGCTATAGGCTACATCTTTCTTTACATTTATTGTTAGTTTATAACACCTTGTTGATTATTTTGTTTTTGTTATACATAATCTCTATACACAATATACAAATTTAGAACACCTTTTAATTTATGAACTTGTTCTAATAGTATCATATCTATTTGTTGTGTAAAAAAATTTTCACTTTTTATGTTTTAAATTTAGATTAATTTTAAGCTTACCTATAATACTTACTTGTCATAACTCTTTTCTAAAAGATATATTAGTGTTTACATAATAGGTTTATGATAGGTTAATTGGCTCCGTGTAGTGTGTCCTTTTAGTGTTGCAACATGAACGAGGCTTGGCGTCGGAATGGGTTTTTTATACTGATTTCGATGATAAGACTCCGACGGGAGTTTTTAGAAGTTAGTGAATTAAACATTCGAAACGTCATAATACCAGGGTAGAGACCCCCTCAAAAGGGTCAATACCATAACCATTTCCTGATGAGAATCTGGTATTTACACTACCTAATTCGTTTGCTTTTTTCTCAAAACACTAATGTATTTTTATGCGTATCTTTCTGAATTCTAAGTGCGCGTAATTTAATTTTGTTTGCAAATAATTTGTCTATATTGTTCTATTGTCATGTTGTTTGCTTTGTATTTTGTCTTTTAAATTTGTATTAGTCACCATGTTTTTTGTCAATTTAATATTGTTAAAATAATACTATTAAAATAATACAATTATGATATATTGTCCTATTATGCATTAATGTTAGTAAGCACTAACAGTTTGTTCGTTTTGAATTATAAATTATAGTATTAAGTTTTTAATAAGAGAACATCTAAGAGTAACAGTAGTAATCTCTAAGTAATCTCTAAGTAAGACTCACACCAATCTTTAGCCAATTTTAAACACTTTTTTCGAGATTAAATACAAATTCAAATTCACATTTTAAAAGACTGTTAAGTTCCTCTATTTAAATTAAGTTTATAAACTGTGTAAGCGAGGCAAGCATACACATTTCTATTTGAACCAGATACACGCATTTTCTCAGTACGTCCTGATTAGTTTATGCATTGTTTATTCCTTATTTCTTAAGCATTATCTGTTACGCAATTTTCCATGCCAAATAAACTGACCTGTGCCTATCGTGTTATTTCCAATGCGCCTAAGTTCTTACAGCTCCCCCTCCTCTCAATTTTTTGCGTTATAAGTAATGAGTTTAATATACGTTGATAACTTTTAATTTGTGTGCTTGAAGTCTGTCCTTTTTACATAATAATATATATAGATCTACTTCTTTAATATAAATATAATTTTCTTATAACAATTATATCTTCTCCTCTCTCGCTCTTAACTTGAGGCTTCTTTAATATTTTTTTCTCTTTGTATTTTATTTTCTATCTTTGTTTTTATTTTTTTGTTTTCATTCTTAAGACTTAATTTCCTAAAAAACGAGTCTCACGTATATAAATCTCATGTACGCGCGCGCACTTTCATGTCACACGCTTATGCTTTTTTTTTTTTTTTTTTTTTTTTTTTTTTTTTTTTCTCTCTTTAAGTTTTTGTTTTTGACTTTCGATTGCACAAAAGAATTATTAGTCTCACAATTTTTAATTGTTCTTATAATTGATACACAAATAGCGAGCCTTTTGAGTAACGGAATTTCTTATAGATTGCCTACCCATACCAAAACCCTTTACACTTGCGAGTTAAGCTCCATTGCGCCAATTCCTATTTAAGTCAGTCGATGTATGCACACTCCGCTGCGCCAATTCCTATTTAAGTCAGTCGATGTATGCACACTCCGCTGCGCCAATTCCTATTTAAGTCAGTCGATGTATGCACACTCAGATGCACCAATTCCTATTTAAGTCAGTCGATGTATGCACACTCCGTCGCACCAATTCCTATTTAAGTCAGTCGATGTATACACACTCAACTGCGCCAATCCCTATTTAAGTCAGTCGAGTCGATAAGATAACCATTTTTCTTTTTTCACATTTTTCACTTTTTTCGAGATTAAATTCAAATTCACTTCATTTAAGACTGTAAGTTCCTCTATTTAAATTAAGTTCATAAACTGTGTAAGCGAGGCAAGCATACACATTTCTATTTGAACCAGATACACGCATTTTCTCAGTACGTCCTGATTAGTTTATGCATTGTTTATTCCTTATTTCTTAAGCATTATC